GCCACACACTATATATCACATTTTAAAAATTAGAATATTAATGATGTGAAATACTCACATAACATTGTTGATCAATAATTTCAATCTCAATTAGAGCGATCATTTCTTAAGCAAGGTAATTGCAATCTCATTTAGATCATTGCTCATTGTAGTACTACAAAAAATTTAAGTTCATAAAATCACATTAGACATTATCTTAATCTCAAATTTGGGGTATCACTAGTCATATGTCACATTAAAATTTACATTATGAAATAAAATTAAACAATTAATAAATTGTGATCACATTTTAAAAATTAGAATATTAATGATGTGACATACATAACATTGTTGATCAATAATTTCAATCTCAATTAGAGCGATCATTTCTTAAGCAAGATAATTACAATATCATTTAGATCATTACTCATTGTTGTACTACAAAAAATTTTAGTTCGTAAAATCACATTACATATCGTCATAATCTCAAATTTGGGGTATCACTAGTCATATGTCACATTAAAATTTACATTATGAAATAAAATTAAACAATTAATAAATTGTGCTTACCATAACCTTTTGTAATGATTAATAAAATTAAACAATTAATAACTTACACTTTTGTAATGTTATAGGGGGAAAATGATTAATTATACACAAAAATGACCACATGAAGAGTTTGTAACCTCCAACTTATTTTAAATGCAAAAAATTAACCATGATATTATAATATAACAAGGGGATATAAAATATTATAATGACTTTTTAAATTCTGCTGTTTTTTATTGATCATAGGCTTCCTAACAGTCCCTAACTTTGTTCGTATGATCTTGTTATGTCTCAACTATCTCTTAAAGTAAAAATAAATCATTTGCTCCATTTTTCGTCATTGAATAATCACGAAATTGAGACCGTTGAAATCATTTATTTTTCTACATCAGAATGCATAGCTTAATAATCGAAAACATCAAGTAATTAACTAGAATTGTTCCAGATATGATCTAAAAATTTAAATGGTTCGTGAAAATTCTCTTAACTTAACCAAATATGTTTTCTTTCTTAACGTGAACCTTATAAATAACATTTATCTCGAAAATCATAATTCATAGTATTTTTTTTTTTATCAAAAATTTACTTTAGTCCCTCAAGTTTGCAAAATCTCAAATAAATCCTCAGAATTGTGAAACTTGCAAAAAATGCTTCAAACCTTCAAATAAGAACATCTAATCATCCTCAAACTATCAAAATAAGAACACGTATGCTTAAAGATAGGGATTTTTTTTTTATTTTTTTTTTCAAAAGTACTAACAAAATATCCTACCAAACACTTCTAATAAATATGGTTAGAAATTGTACGAATATCATTCTAGAGTTACAACTTCAAATTTTGAGTGCTGGGAGGGTTTTAAATAAGTTAGCTTGAACTTTTATAAAATATATATTTGCAGAATTTGGAAATTTGGATAGACACATAATACAAAGAAATAAACATAGCATTTGCATGCCTTAATGGCGGGTGGAAGTCTTATTTTTTGTTTGACTTTTGTGCAGAAGATCTAAAATACTTGTCCATAGTATGTTTGGGCTTTTTTAACATTTTCAATAAGTGTGATTTCGACGAACCTACTTAAATTTATGAATTCGGGATCCCACATATTATTCATATGAATTTTAAAATGGCACGAGAATTAAAATTGAAGGACAAAATTGTTAAACCGCTAAATGTTTACCATGACATTTTTCTTCACGTAGAGATCTAGATTTGCTAGAAGGTAAATGAAGTATATGTTGTTCACAACCAGTGTTTTAAAAGGCGCGTCTAGATAACGCCAAGGTGTTGTGCCAAGCCAAGTGGCTTTGCGCATTATTTATTAGTCAACGATTTTGCCGTTGATCGCTAATGCATGCCTAGACATGATTATGTGTGCTTGGGTGGGCATTATTATCTCCTTTTTTTGGAAAGAAAACTGACTTTTTTTTTTTACAATTCTTTTAGTTTAAAATTTAAAGACTGATTTTTTTCACTTTTATCTGTCTTAAACTTAAAACAGTCGCTTGAAGCCTTGAACAAAGGAAAACTTCTAAAAATTCTTATTTATTTACTATTTAGTATTTAAATTTGAAAGTTATATTTTTGTTGGAAACTTTAAAAAATGTATAAATTTTCTATAATTTGTTTTAGATATTTGGTAGGTATTATTTTTAATTATTAAACAATTTTTTTGATTGATTAAAATCTAAAATAATATTAAAATAAGAAAACACATTTTTATACATATGCCTCACCTAAACTCGTTTAGCCCATATCTTGGCCTTAAGGCATCGTCACGTATTACGTCTTTTAGAACATTGTTCGCCACTGAAAGTTGTGACGTTGTCCCTAACTAATTTTTCTGTTTTTTTAGTCCCTAACCTATAAGAAATTCGTAGACTCCGTCCTCCTTGACGGATCCTATCCATTTTAGCCGTCAAGGTCAAATCAGTTGCACAGCGGAATTGATGTTGGTGATGTGACTAAAACAAAACAATGAACTAAATTTAAACAAAATAAATAAATAAATTGAAGATTAGTGACTCAAATGAAATTTCATTATAATATCCTGAAATCAAACTCAAAATCACCATGATATAATTTATATTAATGCCAAACTTAGTTGTTATTCAATTTACATAGATTAGGCCTAATTAAGGGAGACACACCACATTTCATGCTATTGACTTGTTACCAATTTTAAAACTTCATTTATGGTTAGAAGTAGACATCGTGTATTTCATTTCATATGCATTAAATTAACCCCTTCTTTCCGAATAACGTCGTCTAAAAACTCATTACATGTTTGGACCGACAATTAAATCGTACTATCATAATAGAGAAAAATCTAAAAATTTGAAAACGGTCCAACTGTTTTATAGATTTAATTAGCATTACTAATATCGTCATTTAATAGCAAGTCAATCGAAGAGTCTGAACAATACTTATTCGTAAACTTACCATTTCATTTTATGAAGGGGAAATTATTTTGTCACTCAAGTTTGAATAAAATTAACAAATTGATTGAGTTTCGCGAATGTATACGTAAAAATCGTGTCCTTAATATGCGTTTTCAAGTGGATGGAGCTTGACAGTGTAGCATATTTAGATGGTTAGTGACTATACGTCAACAATTAGGCGTCGCCTGTCCATAAAATATCAGTGAAATAATTTACCCGATATTACAATAATCAATTTGGACAACGTACACGCAGTTTGTGACCTACGTGCTTGTTTTTTTTTTCTTTTGGCCTCTGTATGTGCATGGACATGTGTCTCTGCCTCTGGAGATGAGAGGTGGCTGTAGAAGGTGGAGGTTTGGTGTCATGACAGCCGGGTGGTGGTGGGGGCAGAAGGACAAATGATCACCCCTCTGCCTTTCGAAATAAATGCTGTGAATTTGGTTGTTCAAAACAAACAACAATCAAAATAAAGAAATAAAAAAATATATATAGCCATGCGGTCGCATAGCTGTATGCTGAGACCATTTCATGTGTGAACCATGCGACCACATGGTACAATTTTTTTACCATTTATGATCGTTTTTGACCTTTGCAAATTTGAAATTGGTGACTTTTCACTTGAATTTTTAGCACCATTTCGTACTTCTGGTCCAAGGCTATATATAGGAGAGCCATGTTCAAGGGAAACATGTTAAAAAAAACATCTTGCAATCCATACTTTGTTTCAAAACAATCAAGTCCCGACTTACATTCATATTTATTCTATTTTCGTGTTCTTCAAGTTTTGGAGAATTTCGTTTTGTACTTTGGTGAAATTCTTTACAAGGCTTGTTAAAATCCTTCAAACAATTTGTCGGAATATTCTTAAGCATCTCATAAACACCAAAGAGGGGGCAAATAACATTTAAAAACAATAATCCTACGTTCAAGCCTTCATATTTATTATTACAATTTTCTGGTTTTGTTCTTATTGTTGCCATACTTGTGAATTTTATTTTTGTTTCTTTTTCATCCCTCCAACATTTCCAACAATAAACAATCTCACCGGTGTAGAAATGACATCATTTCCCATCCCACATTGTCGTTCCTGAAGGGGTTGGAAACTGTGAACGTGATGCTCGACTTGAAAGTCCTCTAACCCACTTCATTTCTTATTTTTATTTTTTCAATTTAAATTGTACACCCTAGATCTTCACGACAACTCATCCATCAGTGTAAGGTGGGAGGAACTTCGAAAAACTAGGCTTACTTAATAATCAACCATCAACAACATCAACAACTCCATGAAAAAATGCAACTATGATTGCTGACTAATGTGATCAAGGTTAAATCCAATCCTTCCCCTTTGGGATGTGCTTGATGTACATAAGGGTGTTTATACACTCACATGAGTGTAGAAGCGACAGTTTAATCCCCACCCAACTTGGCCTACCAAAAGGGTAAAGACTGTTCTAACCCAGTGGAGTTTAACATAAGTGGGGCACCAGCCCATTAGAAACATGCTCCGAATTCGTTCACGTCCTGCCAATTATTATGAGACAGGCAAGCATTGTACCATTTCTTGTTCAATCCAAGCTAGACTCATCTGCACTATAGGTGGAGCTACGGGCAGTTTGGTCTATCGATTCTGTAGACAATTCGAGGCCAAATTACAATTTTGAATGGGCTGGTTCACGTGCTCCACGAACCAGAACTGCACCTACATGAATGTAGGTCGGTTTGATACTTCTCGCAACATGTTTTCAGATCTCATGATAAGTTTTACAGGCATAAAATAGTATAATGTACAATTCCCGTCTCTGATGATTTCTTTTTGTTGTAGGACATTTCCATGATATTATCGTCTGATTACTGAACTGATCTAATCCATAAATATCAAAATACCTCGACAAAAATTCTCATGCAGGTAATATTTTGTGGACTACCGAATCATTGTAGTTTACAATTATTAGATAAAATTGCCCTTTATTATACCCCAAGTTTATGATATTATTCTACACGTGAAAACAAAACTGAATTTTTTTTAATTTTTTTTTTTTTGCATACTAGCATCTGTTGCACATTGAACAACCACATTGTTCCCATATGATAAATCCAAATTTGATATTCAGTAAAAACCAGGATGCACCGGAAAAGTTGGAAATATAAAATCCCATTACAATCCTAATAATTGAGCAGATTTTAAGTGCGGGCAGCAGTTGGCGGTCCACCTGGGCGTGGTGCTTGACCTGCCTTTGGCATATCATCCTGTAGGACAAGACAGGAAAAATCATGAAAGATGAGTTGAGCACATATGGGGAGAAAATGTGTACAGAAGAACCTCCAGTTTCCAGACGTAAATTGACAGGGTACTCATCAAAAAGAGGAATATTACATGTTGAACCCAGAGCTCCAAATGTTTAAATCAAAATCAATAAACACTGTTTTTATGGTTCTCTTCAGTACTGTTTTCTTAAGGATGTAAGATTTGTTTCCTCAATATACAGTGGATTTTTGAAAGCCACAGTAAAGTGTATAGACACGTAATTTAGTCCTATTGATGCATAATGCCTTCTTGGCGCTTTCTAATATAAATTGTTTGTTTCTCACAAGAGATAAAGAAAAGAGGTCAGACTTGAGAAGATCAAATGCCATCATAAATCTTTTCACAAATTTGTACAAAGCCATCAGTGAGAAATGATACTCCATAGAAACTATAGCTTGCTGATGTCTTCAAAGGGCAAAAACAACTCTATAGTAAAGAAAAGAACAGCTGAAAAGACAAGGAGGGAATTTAAAGATGGAACAACTAACCCTTGGGCGCCTGAATCGCTGTGGAGGCTCACGGTTCCTCCTGTCAGTACGCGAACGCACCCTGACAACTTTGGAGTGAATAGCACATGAAACACAATACTGCATCTTCACATACAGCTTGGGAAGAGTGTACACTTAATTTTAACAACAAAAGCATTAATTAGTCTAGAATTATTAAAGAGTTGTTTCTTGTGATTTAGATAAATAGGAGTGAAAAGATTGAGTGAAGAAAACTAATAAGCATTTTAACCATTGAAAACTTACTATCAAAAGCACAAGCTTCCTGGACATCCCTTACAGCAGCTTGCTCAACAATGTTCCTTACAAGAAATCTCTTGATTGCTTTGTCCTAGGAAAGGTACAACCATTTGATAAATCACACACACAACTAAGTAAAGCTCAGGTTTAATAAGTACCTCAATATGACAAGGAAATCCTACTTTTTTGAAATAAAAAAAATCCTATAATTGCGTAAAACCAGAACGTTCATTGATTCCAGACCTCTGGGAGCTGTATTTGAAATGTATAGGGTTAAATCTTTAATTTAAATTACAGTCATTCCAGAATTCTTTAATGAAATCAAAGGCGTTATAATATTATATACCAATACTGCACCTGAAAAGAGTGTTTATATATTATATGTAACTATGTATTTACATTAACAAGCAAAAAACTTGATCTGAAACAATCAGGTACTAAAGGCAGACATTTCTATCTGGTTTTTCTTTCGTCAGATCAGTTCATCTGGGGTTCTATCACATGTATGTAGTAGCAGACAAAAGCCACAGCTAAAAATTCAAATATCGGCAGGGGGCTTAAATAACAATTTGAAAGTTCATAGAGAAAAAAAAGTTTCTGGATTCATTCAAGAGTTTTTAAAGATAATTAGTAACCATCACATTCACAAACCCTATCTAAGAGTATCCACGAGCCAATCTCCCTCACGATAAATTATTCATCATTATACATCTTTCCATATAAAGATAACATTAACAGCTGCAGTTCCTTTCAAAAAGCGCAAAGAAAATTATAGCCGACGTGATTCACCGGCATTGACAGATCTATTCTAAGACACAGACTACCTATAATAATCCGTTGCAGTTACAATTTTTCTACACAAACAAAACATATATACAAGTAATGTAAACAAAAGCACCTTCGGACAGCACTTTCCGCAGTTGGAGCACCGGATGAAATTGACGTGTCCGCGACCATGCTTGTTCCTCCCTCCATTCCTTCTCTTGAACGTCTACAATTTCAAAACCAAAGCATAATCAACTATAAAAGTGAAATTACGAGGTAAATTTAATGTATAAAAATTTGAATGCATAATCAATAAAGACTCCATGAATGAGATTTTAGAGAAATTTTTACCATTGTTGTTGTTGGCTTGGTATTGCTCCTTGGGTGAACGGCACTGCGAGCAGCTAATGCCTAGGGTTTGGATCTCAGGAATCAGTATTGTAAAAGAAAGGTTTTTGAGAATTTATACAGGGCTTTAACCGGAAGCCCTAGTCTCCGACAAGTCTGGGTGCCCATTGTGCGGGCTCCGAAAATGGCGGTAAAACAGTTTAGGTTGGGCTTTAGGTCCAGTATAATATACATCTTGGCCCAGATAAGTTTTTCAAAGTTCTCAAACTTATAAATGTGAAAATTACACCCATCAATATGTTTTAAAATCCAACTTAAAAAATGAGATGCAAGTTTATTTATTAAAAATCAGAAAAATGAGATGCAAGGTTTATTTATTAGAAAATATATTACCACTCCATCCCACCCCATTCCAACCCAAACCCTAACCTTAAAATCAATTTTCATTTCTCTTGCCATCTTTCTTCTACCGTCGTCGAGAAACCTATCATCGACGCATAGCAGGCAATGACACACAGTGAAAACGTCATTGGAATCCAAAGCAGCAATGTCGCCCAACGTTGCTATGGCAACTGAAAGTGACATTGTGCTTGTCGCGTGACGCCTCATGCATGACACAGCAGCAATGCCATGTCGAAGCTGTCGTCGATGAGGTGGTTGTGCAGTGATTTGGAATTTTTTTTGTGGATGATGTTTGCAGGTGGTGGTTGTGGTGGCAATAACGGTTAGGGGATTTCTTAGTAGAGGTGGTGGTTGCGGGGTAGTGGTGGATCTACACTGTTGGAATTGTCGAAGCCTGATAAGTGTGTTTTTGCACACTTATTTAGATTACAAA